CCACGCCTCCGTGGTGTGAGAGCGAAGACACCGGGGACAGGCATGTCTGTTAATAAGACCCTGAGTTCTGCTGGGGAAGAGTTAGTGCTGGCAGGTGAGGATGGAGAGGGGAGGAAGGGTTAGATCACAGACGATGCTGTGATTCATGCCAGGAGCTTTGAATTTATCCCAAAGGCTGCAAAGATCATTGGACACTTTAAAGGTGGGGTTAACTTGTTCATGTTTGCATTTTGGAAAGATTGCTCTGGTGGAGAAGAAATGGAGACGAGGGCCAGCGGGGGGTGGGGAGCTACTCACTGGGAAGCAGGTGCTATCGCTCTTGTTTCATAAATGAGAAAATTGAAGTTTGGAGGGTTGATGAGTTGTCAAGTTCACACAGCAGGCTGTAGACCGAGCTTTGAACCACTGGCCCAATGTTTTTGCCAAGATCTTATTTTCCATGACTCCTCTTCATGGTACATGAACCTCAGGCACGTGTGTGACTCACCCCACCCTCTGCCTTCTTACCGCCACGGCTTTGCCTCTTCAGTCCTCTTTTGCGAGAACGCCCAATGCCCATACAGGCCAGTTCAAACCCTATTCATCTATGACAGCCTGTCTCAGAGGCTGCCCCTTCCAGGAAGGCTTCCTTGATGTCCCCAACAAGAAGTAAGCTCTCCTTTTGAATTCCACTGGTAGTTGAACTGAGCTTTTCTTCTGTCACTGAACACAGGCTACTTTGCTTATGTGATTGATCTTTAGGACTCACATGCAAATTCTTTGAGGCGGTGGTGATGGAGGTCCATGTTCACTGACCTTGAACTCCTTCCGAATCCCCCCCCATGGCTGTGTACTTGGGCTAGACACTGTGTACTGGGGGAATGAATGCATGGTTCACTGGGGAGGAGCACCTCTTCCTCTGAGACAGGAGGGAGTGAGGAAGGCTGGGATCGTAGGGGCTGAGGAGGGATGCTGAGGGACTCAGACGGTGCCCTCCACACTAGCAGGGGGCAGGGTGAGCGGGTGGTGAAGAGTATGGGCTTTGGAGCTGGCCTCATCTAGGCTCAGGTCTCTGCCCTGACACCGGCTGTGAGAGGAAGGTGGGTGGGGTTAGGGGCCCCAGGAGAGCAGGGAGGCCTGAGAGGCATCTGTGGGAACACACAGAGTCCCCAAGACGGATAAAAGGTTTGTAAGTGGCAATGAGGGCACGGCCAGGGTCAGTGAAGGGGGACGCGTGGTGGGTGGTGACGCCTCTCCTTGGTGAGTGACTGGCAGGTATTTCCCCAGGGCCTGATGCCAGATGGCCCGGCCCCCATGGAGGCTCCGTATGCAGAGGAGGGCCCAGGACCCAGGATCTTCAGAGCAGAGCCAGGAGACCTGCTACGGAGGCTGGAGGCCCAGCAGCAACCCAGTAAGCCAGACGGGGCGGTAGGGGAATGACAGGGTGGGGGCAGTGAAGGGACAGTGTTCCTACGTCCCCCAGATTCCCTTTCCCCCATATCTTCCTAGGTCAGCCTTAAGTGGCTAATGGCAGGAGGCTGTCTCACTGTTTATCCCAGACCTGCTCGATTGGGCTCTGAGGGCTCCAGTGATCAGAGCCCTGCCCCTGACTCATCCCAGGATGATGGGGCAGAGAGAGGTGGGCTGGGGCAGCAGGCGAACTCCTGTCCTGACTGGGTGGCTGCCTGGCCCCAGCGTGGCACCTCAGAGTGGAGTGAGGCTGGCAGGCAGGAGCAGGGCCCCCAGACTCTCCTCTGTCCTCCCCCACAGGCTCCTGGGCAGGGCGCTGGTGTACAGGGCGGCGTGGCTGTGCGGTGCTGGGAGCCCTGGGGCTGCTGGCTGGCGCGAGCTTGGGCTCGTGGCTTCTAGGTCAGTGCTGGGACCTCAGTGGTCGGGAGGGACAAAGGACAGGATCTAGGGGGTGCTGGGAGAGAGGAGCAGGTGCCGAGCAGGTGTTAGGGGCGGGCGGATGGGCGAGCATCTTTTCCATCCACTCTGAGTAGATGGCGAGTGGAGGAGGGGTGAGGTCCGCAGGATGGACTCAGGCTCTATGTAAAGAAGAACGTTTTAGTCCTGCGGTGAGAAATGTGCTCGGGTGGGGTTAGGGGCCCCAGGAGAGCAGAGGGGCCTGCTGGATGATCCAGGGAGGCCCTAGTCAAACTTTTCCCAGAGACCTTTCCCAGTCAGAGAGTGACAGAGTCAGAGAGAGCTCTGCCTGTCTTCTGTGTGCTGGGTGTGGACCTGCCTAAGGCGGGGTGGTGATGCGGGGGCCCCAGGAGGCTGCTTCCGCCTCCCTCTGCTGCAGGGGTCTTGTCCTGCTCCTTGGCCCCTTCCTGTAGGAATCCTTTCCGTCCCCCGGCCTTTTCACGGTGGCCCTCTTCCTGCCTTTGTCCTCTGAAGTGCTCCACCTGTGGCCAGCCGCCTCTCAGCCCGTTCCCGGGAACTTGCAGGATGAGGAGATGACCTTGAACTGCTCAGAGGCCAGTGGTGAGGAAGCCCTGCAACCCTCGCTTCCCAGAGCAGGTGGGCAACCCCCCCAAGGCTGGGAGACTCCCACCCCAGCTGCTGCACGGGTCTGAGATCCTCCCTTCTGACTGGGGGCCAGAGGACTAACGTGAAGGGCCAGGAGTTCACTGTCATTCCCCTGTGTCTCCGTGGTGTAAGGGTGGTGACACGATCCAGCCTTGAAGAGCTGATCTCTGAGTTTAGGGCTTCCAGCCCTCCCTGGGGACTGTCTTTAACTCTAGCTGGGGCAGAGCCAAGAGCCCAGGCTGGCAGGAGAGATGGCGACTTGCCATTTGGGGCTGAGTAAGCCTGCAGGTGTGTGTGGGGGGAGATGGGGGAGCCAGTGCGTGGCTGGCCAAGGTCTCTGGTAGAAGGCTGGGGACATCATTCCACATTGTCTCCCCCTTCCCCACCCCAATCTTGTCCCCTCCCCTCCAGGTAAGAGTTGAGGATCAGAAGATACGATGCTGCCAAGGCTGGGGTTAGAGTCAGTCACAGAGGTTAGCTGGGACGGCCTGGAGCTGCCTTTGGCTAGCTGTGTGTGCCTTTGGGTGAGTGACTTCTTTGAGCCGCCATTTCCTTCTCCATGAAATGCGGTAAAAAATATTCACTGCACCAAGTTGTAAGCTTGATAATAGCATAATATATGAGAGTTTAGCCTGGAAAAAGCAGATGCTCAGTAAATGGCGACCATCGCTGGTACCGTCACAAGATTTGAAACGTGGTCCTTGAACAGGTCACTTAACCTCTGCGCCTTAATTTCCTCTGCAGAGCAGGGAAGATGGGAATTCTCACCCCACAGGACTGCTGTGACACTTAGCGATGGAGCACGTTTGAAAGCACTTGGTTAAAACACAGAACTAAAATTCTGTGCAAAGAGGGGTTGTGTGTTCTCAGAACTGGCTGGATCCCTGGGGAGCATCTGGGTGACCCAGATGCTGTCATGAAGGCATCTTCGAGTCTCTTCGTAGCCAGGTCCGGCTTGCCCTGCCCACACCGCCCTTCCATCCTGCTGCAGGTGGGATGTGGCTTTGATGCTGTGGTTTCAGTATCTTTCAGAATAAACACCGAGGACTTCTTTCTGGAAGTGCAGGTGAGGGCCCGGCCAGGCTGGCTCCTGGTCTGCCACGAGGGCTGGAGCTCTGCCCTGGGGGTGCGGATCTGCCAGAGCCTCGGGCATCTCAGGTAACTGGGGCCAGACCCGGGGCCTGGGGAGGAGGGAGGGCTGGTGGGCGGGGTGAGGGGCAGTGGAGACCTCTATCAGCCTGTCAGCATCAAAGTACTCAGGAAATGGCAAGAGGTCATTTTGGTCATCTCCTGGCCCCTGGGCATGACGGTACCCCAGCCTGTTTCTCTCCTTTGCACATCCCTGCTTTTTAACAATTATGAATCCCAGAAGAGGTCATTGTCAAAGTCTTGTTCAGTCACTATCCTGGTACCGTATCTCCCGCACATTCCGGTTATGATAACCCCCATCTCTCGTGCTGCAGTTTAAAGCCCATTTCCTCCTGTTCTGTTCCCTTCTCCTGCCAAGACTCACTCACGACAAGGCAGTGAACCTGTCTGACATCAGGCTGAACAGCTCCAGGGAGTTTGCCCGGCTCTCTCCTAGACTGGAAGGCCTCCTGGAGGAGGTGTGGCAGCCCAGGTAGGGCTTCTCATGAAGCTGAGTGATGCCCCTCGTTTCCTAGTGAGCAAGCCAGGAAAAAATCTTCCTAACATGGGACCCTGGTGGCCAGGACACTGGAGGTGTAAACAGGACGACAAAGGGGAACATTTCCCAATTGGAAATTACTAACTCAGTTCATAGGAGCCCTGCCCGTCAGAGTTTCACACACGTTATCCTATCCGCCCCTCGCAAGAATGGCAGGATTGGGTATTATTGTTAGAGGATTTGATATGGTACTCTGATTCTCATTTTACAAGTAGGGAAACTGAGACTCAGTGAGGTCAAGGGCTTTGTGCAAAGTCACAGAACTGATAAACAGTCAAGCCAAGTCTTGAAACCAGGCTTCTGGCTCCCAACTAGTGCCCTCTCACCCCTGCTGCACCGTTTTTGGAAAGTCTGGCAACTCAAGAGAGAGACGGTTGATGGCTTGGAACCTAGAGACCCTCCAGAGAAGAGGGCTCTGGGATGGACCCTTCCTCAAATCCTGGGGGCGGGTGCAAGCTGAGCAGGTCTTTGCCCTGCCTGGGTGTCCTAAGCTTTCTGGCAGCCTCCTGCCATCCCTGCATCGCCTTCCCCATCTGAACCTCTGGCCCCTGCTGTACAGCTCCTGTGCCCTGAGAGTCCGTCAGGGGAACGTGGCTGCCGATGAGGGAGGCTCAGAATGCATCCCTGTCTTGGATACCTGACCAGGCAAAGGGAAGGAGGGCTGGGATGGACTCCACTAGGAGACTGGAGGGCCGTGGGTATGGGAAACGAAGAAGCTGAGGACTCAGACACTGGGCTGCTGGGGCAAGAGATGAGTAAAGAAAGAGAAGAGGGCTTTGGTCCGAAAGGACTTGAGGTTTATGCTAAAAAAGAGGAGAGGAGAGAGAAGAGCAGGTGTATGAGCACATATGACCAGGAAAAGGTCTGGGGAGGTCAAGTCAGCTTAGAGAGGAGCATGGGGCCAAGAACCCTGTCCACTCAGTGACTGGTTTATCCTCTCAGCCACTGAGCACACATTTACGCAGGGGCCTGAGTGGGAGCAGCCGGATTTTCACGTCTGTGAATACTCTATTTGTGACTTTGGGCCCTGTGCAAATCGACCCCGGGGGACCACGATGTCCTGCGTGCCTGGGGCCATTGGGCAGAGGGTGCCCTGCTGGCCAGGACACCTGCTACGAGGAAGGGCCTGGGGGCTTGGGTGGAGGCAGGAGGCAGATGACTGTGGCTCTGGGAGAGGCCATCTCTGCTCCCCGCAACAACTCCCTCCTCCTCCACGCCCTCAGGTGGGTGTGCGGCCTTGGGTGGGGCCTTGGGTGGCCCACGCCCAGCTGCTTGCTTGCGCGCCTCTGTTTCACAGGGACAGCTGCACTTCCGGTCAAATTGTCTCCCTCAAATGCTCTGGTGAGTCCTGTCCTGGGTCCAGGAAGGTGGCGATGGGAGGAAGGCTCTCCCTAAGGGTGAGAGAGCCGCACGGAGAGGCTCAGCCGGGTCTGGAGTGGGGTTCCTTGCCCGCCTGCCCAACTGCCTGCTGGGCGCCTACTTGCAGACACAGTTCTGCCCAAGCAGAGCCATGTCTCAGCCTCTGTCACGTCCCCCACCAGCCGCTGGTCTGGGCAGGCGACCTCCTTGCTTCGCTGCCTGCCCTGGCCCCTGACACTCACCCCTCTTCTTCTGAAGAGCCCCAGAGGTGGATTAGCAGCTTCTGGAGACTAAGGAGGGTGGGGAACAAGGGGCCACACGGGAGACAGTCTGTGGCGTTCCTTTCACCCGTCTTCCCAGGCCCGTAGCCGTCTCGTCATCTGGCCTTCGTGCATCCGTCCGTGCACCAGTATCTGACCCCTCCTACGGGGCAGATATTTTCTTAGGTATTGAGGCTCCGTAGATAATGCAGCCGCCGTCCCTGCCCTCAGTGGGCTCACAGCCTGAGCTCACGTGCTCAGGACCAGGAGTCATGAGCGGGGGCCATCCACGCCGCGGGGCCACACTCCCAACAGTTAGCAGCACCGTGCCAGCATCCGCCTGTCTTCCTCTCCATCTCGCTGGTGCTTGTCTGTCTG